TCTCTCTCTCTCTCTCTCTCTCTCTCTCTCTCTCTCTCTCTCTCTCTCTCTCTCTCTCTCTCTCTCTCTCGCTCGCTCTCTCTCTCTCTCAAGAAGATTGATCAAAGGACGCACGAATCGCTTTTTGTTCTTAATGACGTCTCAGGATATTTTTGTGACTGATTAACATGTGGACTGACAAGTACCCTTCGATTGGGCGCCAGCCTCCCGTATCTCCCATCCCAACGCGACCTTTTCCTTACAGTGAGAAAAGGACACGTGTATGTGAGTGGGACATACGAGAAGCCGTTGCACAAATCGGCGGGTAGTATAACTTCCCTCCGGCCAACCGTTGCTCTGGGTTCGTAGAAGCCGGGTTTGTTATGATCAATACGCACTTCCCACCTTACCTAGTATTGCTGCCCTTTAACGAGTTGATCGTCATTCCGTGGACGGCAGTAGAACCCCACTGGTCGCGCACTCTGTGCACCGAATGTCAGCGTTTTGAGCGCTACGAGTCCAGGGGTTTTCACTACTGAGTGCGGAGCGAAGACGAGCATGAAGAAAGAGCCACGCGGCTGAGACCCTCCACGTCAGACTCGGAACTAACCAGTGAACGACGATGAGACTTGATGAGAAAACGAGACACGCGAAGAGTCCCCAAGCCTTTCGGTTCTAAACGACGGGCTGTAGCCCGGTGGGAGGCACGACAATACTTTTTGGATTGAAATTGGATCTTTCCCTCTCTTCCCGCCTTGCTCGCGCGCGCATTTCGCGACCCGCGAAAACAATCGACTTGCCCCATCGGACTAACACGGGGGATTTCAGTTCTGTCTGTGTCCCCACACTCAATTTCCAAAAAATCCTTGGCACACCCCATCTTGCTGTTTTTCTGGGCCTCTTTTCCGCACAGCTAACACTCCGAACGGAAGACAGCACAGGGCGTGAGGTTGGTATCGGAGCCGACACGTGTCGGTTCTGATGATAGCAAGTCGAACTGGCGAGAGCTAGGAGAGACCCTCAACTAGCTCGTCGAGATCGCCCCGTAACCAGGTCTCAGTCTAGTACGGCTGCACCAATAGTACCAATGGTGGATGGTACTAGGGTGACCGTTAGCATCCCTGCCCCTTTCCCCTTCTTCCCCAACCATACCCATCTCGAAGCTTGGCTGGAAGCTGTCGAAGCTCAAAACTACAGCGCAGCCGACTTTCCCCGTGTTCTGACATTACTACTCCGCAATACATCACACGACTGGTTACGAAAGCATACATGGGTAGATTGGGAGACTTTTAAGCACGCATTCTTGGCTCGATTTGATATGATTAGTGAGGATGCTGCATGGTACGTGCTCAAAAATCGGCCACAGGGACCAGGGGAGTTGTTGCCCGATTTTGTCGATCGATTTCAAACCACATTGGACAAATCCAGGCGAGACGAGAAATCCGCTCGAGATTTGCTCATCGATCACCTATGAAGTCCGACATTAAAAGGGAAGCTGCAGAAAAAGGTTCCGCCGAAAACAACACAGTTATCCGCTATCATCACTAAAGCGTTGGAGCTAGACTTGGCTGATACAAAAAAATATATCAGCCAAGGAGACGAGGATATTACAGATACCATACAGGATGTAACGGCCAAAAGGTGATCATTGCTACAAGTAATCGAACGGTTTTATCCCTGCCCCGACCAGGATCTTCCCGGCAGGATCGTTTCCGATATCCCGACTGCTTCTCCTCCATCTCCCCTAGTGAATCAATCGATCGCAGCCGTTAGATGCGGAACTTCCTCTGAACCCCTCTCGCCGGCCGTAACCAATCTACACCTTGCCCAGATGATCCATACGGCTACTACCAAGCAGTCCGAATGGATGAGCAACTTGATTCAAATGCAGGCCGCTCATATGGAACGGATGTAACAGATAATGAAGGCTCGTTAAGCCTAACCTAGCTCCTGCTCGACCTGCCCCTGCATCGTTCCCACTTTTACCTACTCCAGGGTTAGCGCTTCAGTTCCCTCATCTAACTAATCCAGCAGGGAAGATTGAATGATTAAACTGCAAGCAGCCCGGGCATTTCGCCCTAGACTGTCCGCAGCCGAAATGTAATCAGCCTTCCCCTGCTGCAGCCCCCGTTGCCCTTAATCAAGGACGAGTGGCCGCCCTGATGGATACGGTGTGAGGAAACCCATGGAGGGGCTCCTACCGCTCGCTGAAGCCAGGGGCAACGCCGCCTGTCACTTGGCGCGCCCACTTCCGAGGTCCTCAGCGGCAGATAGGGTGTTGGGGGTTATTATCTCCTGTTTCCCCTGCCCACAGAAGCGCTTTAATCTAGCGTTATCAGATCATAATTCTCTTGAGTAATTTTGTTCAATGAGCGGTTCCCCCTTTTCTGGAGTCAGAGCCGGATGTAGATTGGGCCTGATCATGAGGGTTATCTGTTTTGACTCTAACAAGTTCGGTTTTAAAAGGGAGA